TCACCCCCCGTTTTTTTCATAAATCAGTCGGTGGTTAAACGGTTCAAGAGGGTGAAGTTTTTCCCCCAACTTATTTCTACTCTAACATGACACGGTACGACAACCCAAAACAGTATAACGTGTAGGAATCCCGAAATAAATAAAAAAGAACCGAAATTGTGTAACGGAATTTCTTGCACAATTGGTGGCTGACTAAATACTTTTTTCCCCCACTGTATATATATATATGTTGAATAAAGATTTTACTTATGCTTGGGGTCAATTGCACTTAGCTTTATTTTATTTTTTTCTTCTTTTAAATGCTAGAACTCAGTATTTATTTCCACTTTATATTCAAGTGGAAAGCTTTTGAAACCGAATAGCTTCTCATCTCTCTCACAATCAGCCATTTTAAGTGCTGAATAAGAAATCACTTCAACATCAGGAAACTCTCCTTCTATGTATATGTGTACCTGCATCACTGCAGCTGTATGACGACAGTCCAACACTGCGTGGAGGCTCAACAAGGCTCAGGAAGAGAGAAGCGTGTGTGCTGCTTAGCTATCAGCGTGCCGTGCTATAAGATGTAAGCTCCTGATATTTAGGTTGCATGACAGTGTACACACGCTGCTAAAGAAATGAAGGTAGACAGATTAACAGAGAAAGGGCAGTGTACTTTCTCTAAGTATTAAAAAAGCTTAAAATATTGTGCAGTACACTTTATCCTGCAGGCATTTCAATATAATTATAAGTTATAATAAAAAATAATGAGATGCAATTTTTGACTCACTGTCATATGATTATAGGCAATGGTGTTAAACTTTCAAAAATGATGTTTAAGTTTAATAAAAAAGATATTTTATTCAGACTTAATTTTGCTTATTGTGATATATACAGTAATCTTAATTTGTATCGATTTCAACTGCATGCAAGGTTTAATTCTGCAGATTTCCTATTTATTCCTGAAAGAAAATAGCTTACATTACACCAATTTCTGATGATATGTTTTAGGTCTCCTTGATTTATAATATGTGTCAAGGAAGATGTGTTAAAATAGATGCATGATAAGCATTCTTGATGCTACAGCTGACACAGATTTTTAAATGAAAATTGATATATTAAAATCCTCATTCATGACTAAAATCCTGATACTTTTGCTTTTTCAAATCCTGCAGGGTAAGTGAAGAGTGAAGAGTTCGTGCAGGGTTCAACCGGAATTCCTGTTATTGAATTAGTTCATCGCTGGGGATGCAAGACAAAGGAATGTAACAATGATGTGTAATCTAATCATACTGTGATTGGAGACCATATTGACAATGCCCTTATGTGTAATCAGCTGTGTTTTGGATGCATGTTTTCTCCTTGGTATGATAAACATTTCCCGGACAGAGGCGAGGACTCCTACTCGCCCTTTCCACAAAGAAAGGTCAGTTGGGATGAAGGTTCAAAATCACTGCCAGGGGAAAATCATGTACAGGAAATGAACTCAAGCTCTAACCACTAAGAGCTGCAGGTCCGTGTCTTCTGAAGATGAAACACTTCAATATAGAACAGGTGACTCAGCTTCCAGCTTGGCAGAGAAATCCCCGGAGACCTTTGACCTCCTAATCGTTTAGTAGCGCTTATGGTTGGAGATCTGCTCCAGGCTATTAGAGAGATTAGTGTCACGTAGATTTGGGAATGGGCCAGGCCTATATCTGTACTTCATGGTATTCTCAGCATTTATTACTGAGCACCCAACCCCTGTTGAAATCTGATACATGATCATATAGTAGCACATACTGTTACAGCGTGAGGATATGTGTAGGTGCACATGTATGTGTTGACCTACATAAAGTCTCAGGCTACATATTGTGAGCATGCTGATGAGTAAAAATAGACATTTTGTGATGTAAACCTCATGAAACATCACTATAATTGGCTATGAATGCTGTTTAGGGTCTCCCATAACTGTTGTTTATGTGTGCTGTATATTGTGGTTGGGAAAATGCATATATGCCTAATACAACATGATATTATGTACACATTCACACACTTTGTAGCCTGCAATAACACTTTACTTGCTAATAACTGTCAAAACAGTGTATGTTATGTTTGTTTTGGGGTATTCCTTATTTTTTGAAAAGATGACCGCCCCTCTTCTTGCAACAGCACACGCCATAGTGCAAAACGAGCCGCCTTCCAGAATAAAAACAATCCATAGCTCCTAAAGCAGATTCATCAAGTAGTTTGAAATGAGTCAAGCTCATACCGGAAATGGAACATTTTCGGCTACAAAATGAAGATAAACAAATGTGTAATAATTGGCAATAATAAATACAAACTGCAACATGTTATGAGTGCAAATTAGAAACAATTGTTTTTTCTCCTGAAACTTCACACACAGCTCAGTAAACAGAAGTGTCACAGAGTGTGTATTTCACTCGTCCTAATAGTAGAGGAAGGCCATTCTCCTGTCTTGCATAGTGGTGATATGGTCAATAATCACGTCGTAGAATATCCCACCAGCCTTCCACAACATTAGAGTCAATATATATTGAGCTAGCAACTAGCTGCTGAAGTTTGCACTACCAACTAGCATCTCCGTCCAGACACCATTTTCGTCAGAATCCCTCCGTACGAAGCTCTAGTAGTCTGGGAGTTGGCTTGTCATAATATTTAATTTTGAGTCGCTATATCATTTAGTGAAAGACATTTTTTTAATGTCTTTTGAAAATCTCCACTCCATAAATGCACTTGCTAATGTTGTTACTTGCATTGTTGTACGCTGTTAAAGAAGAAAGAAAATAAATAAAACAATGCACATATGCCCTACATCTCATTGATAATGAATCTATATTTGCTTTTAAGGGTATTTTGTGTGCATGCCTTGTTAACATGCTGCTTTTAACAAAACAATTTGGAATCAATCAAGCATCTAATCCAGCACCAGACTGACACGTGGCAGCAACTGTGATTTAATTGTTCTATCTATATGGCGCTGATCTAATCTAATTTCACATTCCATTGAGACATTTTATTTTTGAAATACTCTACCGGAAGCTTCATACATGAGTTTTGTGACTTGACATTGGTCAGTGACGCCATCTTGAAATTGTCCCGACCAGAGGAGGCGAGGAGGAGACGGACTTGGGAAAAGCAGCTCGTCCTAAACTCGATAGCTGCATTAGCTACACGGATTAGCGGCAGCTTTAGGGGTTATTGCTAACATATGATAGTGTTTCCACTTGTTCATTCAAGTCATTTCGACGGGAGAAGGTTGTTTGGCCCACTTTGGAGAGGGCTAACAAGGCGGAGGGAGCCTCGGTTGTTTCCCTGTTGGAGCGGACGGAGCTGCCCCGCCACTATCGGCAGAAACGGAGGTTTACACGCGGAATATAACAACAAAATACACGTTTTCAGCCTCCCGTTTCCGCGGTAGGAGAATCTAAATGATTATTTCAACATCGTTTTAAAGCTATGCGATCGAGGGTGTCGAGGAGAAGTTTGATCGGAGAGCGAAGTGCGCTTGATTTCCAATCCGATGGATGTTAGCCCTGCCCGGCTGTGGCTTGGCTCTCTGCTCCGCTGCTGTGAGAATAACACAACAACAACAACAACAACAACAACAACAACAACAAGTCTCTTCATAACAATGCTGCACACACAAGTATATGACAACCCCGGCTTGAATGCCAACAAGACAGCCTCCGTTGCTTGTCTCTAAACCTGGAAATACCTCCAACCATCCCCTCCGCTTCTTCTTCACCCCTCCTCTTCCTCCCTTCTTCTTCTTTTGGACTGGTAAGGCTTGCATTGCCTGGGATTTGTGGATTTATCCCTCGATATTGACATTTTGAAGATGTCCTTTTTGCACAGACAGAGCTCGGTGGAGCAGCAAGACATTTAATTTGACTCTTGAATTTGAGATTTGTGGGCTTTTTTTTTGTTTTTGCTTTTTTAAATTCTCTTTCTAGTGAGAGGATCAGATTCGGATGGAAAATGGGAGACGCCACCAAACTGGCCTTCGCCGTTTTCCTCTTCTCCTGCTCTTCAGGTGGGTGTGGAGGGGGGGTAATGCATGGTTTATTGTCAGCTGTTGAGAACTCAGTATATTGTTCCCTCTGCAGAGTTGCAATGCTTGTTTTTATCTGTGGAGAATGCAGTGCATAGGGGAACATCTGCCACTCAGAGTTATTATGCATCCTCCATGTGTGTCTATACATTGTACATGTGTTTAAAATATCAGTAGTGAGCCCAAGCTGGGGCATGGGGACCTCAATTGGTCCTTGAGGGGCCTCTCATGGGACATACCAGTACGAATTGGGTTTTATGCTGAATTCCATTACATAACTACTCTATCCTCTCTGTTATTTTACAAGTTGCAGTATAAACAGATGTGCAATTAATAACATTAGTCAATTCTAACATCAGATGAATAAAGACGTTGAGTGAAAATAAAAAGTGGTTAAAACCTAAGGTGGGTGGTCCACAACCTATATGATCAAAAATAACAGGAGCAACTCTGCATTCATAGCCACTCAATAAGCTTTTTATCTTTGATTTGTTCATAGCTGCTCAAAATATATCTGCTCAAAAAGGTCATGGACATTTTGGTTGGTAGGTAATCCAGGTGTAGGTGGGTTTAACCTTTTTAATTTTATACAACACACAGTTCAGTTTAAGCCACTTGTATTATACCATGTGTAATTTGAATCGCCACAGCAGAGCAATTTTCACCCTTCATGTTGGAGAACATTCTTTATGCGTCCCCATTTCCCAGGGGTGGATGCATAATAAATGTCAGTGGGGTCAGTGAGGTGATAATAAGCTGCAAAGGGTCAACCGTGGAGGGCTGTTTTTCCTGCACAGCACAGAAAAATATGGCATTTTTTCTGTTACTCAATGCCAAAAGATATTAGAAGTAATTATGTTAGAAATACAAGAGGGCAGCAGTTGATTTTTGCAGCCCTGTTCCACCAGAAATAAGACCATCTATCCTCAAGGTGATGCGAATAACCAGGGAGTGGTCCTTTTTAATGGGTCGGTGTCACAATACATGGATGTGATGTTTACTTCATTACTTGCTGAAAAGCTGAATAATGGTTTCACTATGCTCCATCTGTTGACTAGGTGATGATTGACAGGAGGCAGATTCTAACGCAACCACAGATTGCATGAGTTGAAAGATGAATTTGTCTGAGAAAAACAACATTTGACCTGGAGGCAGTATTCTTATTCTTGTGTATAAACAGAAATTAGATTACTGGAAAAGTGCATTATTATTATTAAAGGGGACCTATCATGCAAAATGCACTTTTTGATGATCTTTTATACATACATGTGTGTCAGGGAACTCACAGATATGTTTTAATATATATCTGAGACCCATAATACATGCCTAAAAATAGCATAATAGGAGACCGTTAAACAGATAAGGAAAACATTGTACTGTCTGTTATGTGCTTATGAAACTTAAATTTGTATTTCTGTGCTGCTTGGAAATGATCTGCTTATAAAATATCCAGTGTGTAAAAGTAGTTCCAATTAAGGCTTAGAAAGGTAAAATAAAAATCTGTAGTCGCAGTGGAGTTGTCCTTTTACAGCGAGCCCAGGGGTGTCTTTGAGGAGAAATTAAAAGGCTTCTCAAATACGGTAATAGTTAGGGTTGGTTGAAGTGTAAGCCCAGGTGCTGTCTTTATTGCACAGTGCAGCAGATGATTATTCCGCTCGCTCATTACTGTCTGAAGTGGGGAAATGAATGGTTCCTACTTGAGGTGGGCTAAATAATCCTCGATGAAATCCAAGTTGAATTGGAAAAGCTCAAGACGCCACCAAGAAAACCTGCGATAAGGGAAGGGCTCTCAGCCCATAGTGCTTCATTTGATGAGGAGCCAAAATATTCAAGATAACATTGAGATTTTGATTCAAAGACGCCGAAAAACCTGTTTTTACGCTGTTTGGCAACTAATAACTCAAGTGACACTGTCTGTTTATGAGGTTATGTAATGCTATGTTGTACAGGGAGTAAGACACTATACTGGTCCTTAACAGCAAGGAGTAACTGCTTTATCCTCCAGTTTAAAATGTTATGAAACAGACAAGAGCAAGCATGCTTAATCAATTAGTCTATTGACGAATTAATTCAATAAAAAATTATAATCGATTAGCTGTTTTCTCGGCCTCTTGGACACAAAGAGTTCCTGTTTTAAGTCATGTTATGTTACAGTTCATTAAATATATGTTCTGTTTGCACAAAACAAGCAATACGTGAGTATCACCATGCCCTATGGACTTGTTATCTTTTGACTATTTCCTGACATTTTACAGAGAAAACAATTAGTTTATTGACCAAGCATGTGGCGGATTAATCAATAGTCAATTAATTGTTGCTTGCAACCATGAATAGTTTTAAGAAAATGTGCCCAGCTAATGTCAATTTCATACCTTAACACTTGCATACTTATGTAATTATTAATCAATAAGACATGTCATTGTTAACAAGTGTTACGCGATACATGGAGTTTCTGGATATTTATTAATACTCAAAGTGTCTTAATTAAGCCTTAAAACCAGACAGGGCTTTTGGAACCGAGGGTGTCTGTTTCCACACAGAAAAGGCATAGATGTGAAATGTGACCTGGTTTAATGTTGCGTTCAGCAGCTGCCGAGTGTTTTGATCAACGCTGGCATGTGTAAATGCTGCCGTAACACATGGCGGGTCAAGGTTGTCTGCCAATGTGTCGATGTGACAGGATAGTAAACGGGTTTCATGTGTGAGTTTTGCTACTTTGGGCTCAGTTTTTTTTAAAACTCCTGCTGAAACTAGAAAGAAATACATTTTCATTCTAACTGATAAAGCCACACTGCAACAGGCGGATGTTGAACCCGGGTCATGTGTTTGAAATGCGACCTCTGCCTTAGATCTCACGTGGGCTTAAACTGCAAATAGGTAAATATTGACTGTGCTGCCTCAGGAGTTATGGCAGTTTAGATTCTGATTCTATGGGACTGTGAGATAGGAGAAATTGCGATTTTAAAGATTGTGTTTATTTAAGCTTTGATTGAGGGGTGTCTTACGTGAATCAAAAAAGAACCCATGTCATGCTAACAAAGGGAATTATTGTGTTCTCTAAAAGCCAGCAATGTCTGTCGTTTATTTTATATGGTTTTAATTAGCGATATGACGTTTGACCCTTTTCCTAATGATGTAATGAGTATAATTAGTCTTAAGTTGAAGCAACAAGAATCTGGCCTGTGTCTCTTCTTCATGGTCTAAATGCAGCTCAGAGGTCATACCCGTGAGTAAATCATGTTTTGCCCGTAATCTGGGGGGAATTTAGGTTTCTGTATACATCGTCCTCTGAGACTGATAGATGGCGAGTCTTGTGCTCTTCCTTCACATTTGGCCTCCTTTTTTGTACACTGCAGCAGTTTCACACAGACATTGATCCTCTTGCACACCAGTGTAAGGTTACATCGATATGGCGAGGCTGAAGCAGCCCTGGGTTTTTAAAAAAAGAAGAAAGAAATCCTCAGCAGCAGATGTGATGATTCAGTTTCAGGTCTGCTTCGCATCAAACTTGAAACAGGATCTGAAATCAGTGATCAGACCAGGGTCTCTGTTCCGTCCCATTGAGCTGGGGTTAACTTGCATGATCCAGTTTCTATAAATGGGGGAATTGTTTGACGGCAACCTTTTTTGTTGACAACATTTTTGAGCAACGCGTATCTGTGTTTGTCTGAATAGACCCTGACCTTTGACCTCCTTGCAGTGAATAGAAAGAGATAAAGATATCTTTTCCTCCAGCATGCAATTCATTATCAGATCAGATTCTCAAACTAAGCATTGGATAAAAATGAATACATTCTGGTTGTTTCTTTTAGCCAATGAACTATTAAACTGCTATTCAAATGCGACTTAGTTGTTCCTGGCAAAGGACACCCTTTTTCACAGGCACGGTTTATTATTAGAAGACATTTATAGCGTTCTTTTTATCCTAGAAACACTAGGTTTGATAAAGACAATCTGTGCTTTACTTTAAATTGCCCTTAAACAGTTTTTAAGATTACAAGGCCATTGAGTTGATAGTGAAATCAAAGAGTAGAAAGTGAGAACCTCTCCATTTGTGAAGCCTTTGTCAGCCATTCTGAAAACATTTGCATTTTTGATGGCGGGTGTGGTCTGAGTATATAAAAACGGTAATTTCATGCATTTCATTTAATGTGTCTTTGAATTGAGATAGAGATGCTCCGATCGATCGGCCGCCAAAATAACAATAAAATAGTGGTATGCAACGTGTGTGAAGCAGAAATCCTCCAGCTCCACCTGCTGTGACGGACCGGTGAGCGGAGCAACACCCACATTTAGAATTAGACCTAACACAATATATGTATTCTTCACTGTTGGGTCACTCATTACTGAGCTGCATGAGAAGATACTGACCGGCTGTCAGGAGAGAGAGAGAGAGGCTTCCGCTCATTTCTCCCGTGTTATTCTCCAAAGTTAATGTAAACTTGAATAATGTACTTCATTTGAATGTAATAATTATGTTGGTTGTTGTTTGTGGAAGCGCCAGTGAATGAGCCCCATTAACTGAGTTTTAAATATCACTTTAAATGGAAGATCCCCATAGGCCCCGCCCACTCGATCGGATCGGCATCGTCCGATACTGATTCCGACGATCGACCCCAAAATTGGCGATCGAAGCATCCCTAATTGATACAATTTTCACGTTGATTTCTTACCATCCTGTGCCCTCTGCTGCAGCGTTTTGGGTGTTTTTTGGACTGGTCTTTGTCCTATTTTCTCCCCTATCTATTTCTAAAATGTTCTCTTGCATAATGCATAAGCCTCCAAAAGCACAGGTGTATTTGTTAAGGCCAGATGTAGCCTCGATTTCCCATTGGGCCCAACTAGTCAGATTCCTTTGCAGGGCCGTGTATCATTCTGTGCTTTAACATCATAAAAACTAAAGGGCCGTACTAGTTCATGGTCATGTTCATGTTAGTAAAATGGTAAACAGAAACAGCATGTTGCCAGATCTGTGCCGGGGG